GGTCAGCACACTTCTTTCCTTGTAACGTCTCTGTCTGCTTTTGGTGTCAGGACCTCGTTCTGTCCTTGTAGAATGCATTAGAAAAGGTTCCGTTCTTGGTTCTTTTTTTTCAGTGTTTCTGTGTTTGTGCTGGAAGCCCTGTGTGTTGAGTCACTATCATCATATTTTCCTTTAATTCTTTGGCTCATTTACAGTAGCCACTCTGGAGTCCTTAGGAAATGCAATCTGGGCCACGCAGCGCGGGCCTCTGCCATCTGCCCTTTTCCCTGAGTGTCGTCACGCTTCTGTTTCTTTGCTTGTCCCATGATTAGGGGCTGCAATCTGGACAACCTGGGTACTGTATTTGAGCAAGTCTGGATTCTTGTATTTCTATCAGAGGTTGTTTGATTGGTTTTTGTTTGCTTGGGTATTTCACCAGGACCTGGAGAACCTGTGTCCGTGGCAGCTGCAGATGTGTCCGCTCATGGTTTCTGCTCTTCTTGTTGAGCCAGGGTGTCCCGGGGTGTCCGCCTGTCTCTACAGCTCAGCGGTGGGCTGCTGCTCCGTCTGTGGTTGTGCTCCAACACCGCGCATCCCTGAGGCTCCCCAAGGCCAACGATCCGCGCGTGTAGGGAGCTGATATCCAGTCGATTCCTGGTCCCCTGTGGCATCACTTCTGTGGCCGTGCTGGATCCCCTGCACATGCCTGTGCTGCTTCTGTCGGCCAGGGTTCCGGGGGAGCCACCTCCGTCTGGCTCTCTTGTTCTCAGCATCTCCCCATTATTTTTCTGACTGGTCCCTGCTCTCCTGACCCCTCCCCAGCCAGGGCTGTGGGCCTCTCCAGGTCCTGCAGATGGACCCCCCATGGCTGATGAAAGTGTTCCCCTCCCACCTTGAGCCCACCCCCTCTGGAAGCAAAGCTGCTGGTCCTCAGCCACCTACCCTGGTGCAGCTGTGCTGTTACTGGGTAGAGTGGGGTAGGGGGAGGTGGAGCAGCTGCTTATATGCTGCTGGATTTGGTTTGCGGTATTTTGTTGAGGAATTTTGTGTCTGTATTCACCCTCAGGCCGGGAAGCCAAGTCCCGCT